TATCTATCTATCTATCTATCTATCTATCTATCTATCTATCTATCTATCTATATTTTTTAAAAAGGATTTACCCATTTATAAGCCTGAGTGGGAGAAGGAGAGGGAAAGGGAGAAAGAGACTGAAGCCGACTTTACTGCTGAGGTTGGAGCCTGACATGGGGCTTGACCCCACTGCTGTGAGATCGTGATCTGAGCTGAAACCAAGAGTCAGAAGCTCAACCAACTGCACCACCCAGACACCCCTATAAAATGATATTTTATAAACCCTGGAATGAGGAGAAATTTATGGAATAATTTGGCTTTGTTCAAATCCATCATAATGCTTTCATAATTTATCCATAATTATGTACACGTTGGCAGATTTAACTTTCCCATCATAGGAACATCTGAGTTACCCCTTGGTGGAAAGATACTAGGAACAAATGAAGGAGATTTACTTCAAACTGTAGTTAGTAATAACAGATGCCACTTCTTGGACATCTATGACACACTAGGTACTATGCTAAGTACACTACTTGCATTATCTCACTTAATCCACACAGTAAGATTGACCTTGTGAGGTAAGTGTTGTCATCCCCAGGCCACAGATGAGAAAACTTGCATAATTTGCTGAAGGTCACAGAGCTGATAAATGGTAGAGAGCCTTCAAACACAGCGATGATTGATTCCAGAAAACTAAGCTGTGCTGGGTTATCTCTTCACTGCAGTTGAACCATGATTATAACAAGGTCATCATTTCTTTGTAAGTACTTCTTGAATCCCAAATTTAATGGTTGAAAGTGATCAAAATAAAAGTACTTTCCAATATTCTGGATATCGCACAGGAGTCTGAAAATCAGGATCGACAACTTTATGAATTTAAATACAACTCACCCAATCTTCTCAAGAAGGTGATTTAGCAGTATGTGTAAAAGCCTTTAATAAGTGTGGCTTTTGACTCAACAACTGCATTTCTAGGAATGAGTCTTCAGGAAATTACTGATGATATAGACAGAAAAAGAAAAACAAAGATGTTGCTATAAAAGAGCAAAAGTTGAGGGGTGCCTGGGTGGCTCAGTGGGTTAAAGCCTCTGCCTTCGGCTCACGTCATGATCCCAGGGTCCTGGGATCGAGCCCCAAATCGGGCTCTCTGCTCAGCAGGAAGCCTGCTTCCTCCTCTCTCTGCGTGCCTCTCTGCCTACTCATGATCTCTGTCAAATAAATAAATAAAATCTTAAAAAAAAAATAAAAGAGCAAAAGTTGAGAAATGTGCTAATTGTTTAGTAGGAGGAAGTTGATTTAAGTATAGCACATTTATACGATGGAATACTATGCAATGGATAAAAATCAGGATGTGTGCTGTAAAAAAAATACTAGCATGGCTAAAAGTTCATCCTTTAAAGTGAAGGAGACAGGGGCACCTGGGTAGCTCAGTTGTTTAAGTGTCTGACTCTTGATTTCAGCTTAGGCTGTGATCTCAGGGTCCTGGGATCGGGTCCCACATCAGGCTCCATGCTTGGCGTGGAGTCTGCTTGAGATACTCTCCTTCCCACAGCCCCCCCCCAACTTCTGCTCACACATACTCTCTCTCTAATAAATAAATAAGGTCTTTAGGGATGCCTGGGTGGCTCAGTTGGTCAAGCCGCTGCCTTCGGCTCAGGTCATGATCCCAGCGTCCTGGGATCAAGTCCCACATCGGGCTCCTTGCTCAGCGGGAGCCTGATTCTCCATCTGCCTGTGCTCACTCTGACAAATTAAAAAAAAAAAAAAAAAAAAAAAAAAAAAAAAAAAACTTTAAAAAAAAAAAAATAAATAAAAAAAGTCTTAAAAAAAAAAAAGTGAAAAAGACAAGCTACCAAAGTATGTTTAATATGATACCATTTTTTTTCTTTGGTTTGTTTCATAAAACTTAAACACATGCACAAAACACAGTGGATGGGACATACCAAAAAATTCACAATGGTTCTCTCTGTGGCTTTACTGTATTTTCCTAAGTCTGTTTATGTTAACACAGACCATTTATTGCCTTCAGTAACTTAAAAGAGCACAGTATCAATTGAACAAATTGTACTGAGGAGAAAATACACATTTTAAGGGAAATAGAACACAAATCAGAAAAATAGCAAAATTAATGACCTACCCTGACGATCTCAACAGTCCTTGGTCCCATATCTGTGCCTATAAATAATGAAGCAACACAATTAACTTTTTAAAATAAAGAGATAACACAGCTAGGATTTAATATTCTCCTATAAAAATATTACTATTAAGAAAATAGTATCATTTTCTAGGTCTTTCAAGAGAGAATACAAATAGGTATTACATACTTTCTCAAAATCCAAACTGGCAACTATTGGTTAGGGGCTATTTTAAGAGGCCCTCTGTCTGAGGTAGATGTGGTCATAACCACGTGGTCCGACAGAAGCTGAGGGAGGTACCAGTAGCTGCCCGGGATATGAGCCTAAATGGTTTGGGGGATGGGTTATTTTTGTGTCACTGTACATTTTCCTGCCTTAATAGAAAACAAGCCTCTCCTCAAGGAAAGGCTTGAAAAGACCCCTTGCCTTGCCCCAACCGCAAAGGTATATATGTTTTTGACTTTCCTCAAGTGACCTGTCATTTGAAATTTTTCTCTTTGGGAAATAGTTCCTTTATGAAGTAGCTTCGATTTCCGCTTTCCTGTTTTTCACGTGATTTGTGTACAGTTAAAGGCACATTCCCAAAATGAGCCTCTATGGCTTTCCTTCCTTTAGAACAGGCTTTTCATCAAGCTTGGGGCTTAGGTGCACATATTTGAAGATTTCAACGTATCTGAATTGAGGGTGAAGAATTGTTTTTAAAAATATTATTATTTTAAAAAATTGGGGTCACAGGATGGTTTTGCTGGAGGTGTGTGTAAGTCATACCTGAACTTTTGGGGGAAGGATCTGGAGCTCTTTTTGTGCCGACCAGGTTTTGCAGGCTGGTGATGACAGGAGCCAGGGAGGGATGGAAGCTGCTGTGGGTGCTGTGTTGGCTTCCCTGGAAAGAAAGCCCGTAGTCAGCTGTGCTCAGACACTGACTTGGTCTTAAAAATTCAGACTTAATATTTTAATTACTTAAGTAGCCATAACCACGTGACAGAAAATTCTGTAGAGGCTAAAAGAGAAAACAGAAGTGACCCCTACTCACATTCTTACCTCTCTAACCCAATCCCATTTGACATTTTTCCATTGCCTTCCCTCTTATATGAGCTTTTATATATGGTTTCAATCATCAAGATAGAAAACATGCAATAATTTAAGCTTTTCTTGCTCCCCACGAAAGAAAAAAACATTTTCCTAGATTTTTAGTGTTTATATATAATCAGTTAATGGCACTATATGTCACTTGGGGCTATAGTCAACAGTTATTACCTTATTACCCAAACTACATGATCTATTTTGCTAAAATAACTATCATAAAATCTTGACTAAAAGAAACTTTCTTCTCAGTTATAGGAGAAAGCAGCAAATACCAAGGGAATATATTGTTTTAGGAATGGGTTAAATTTTTTTTCTCAGAGATTTTCCTGGAGTCAGTGGTAATTGAACCCAATCTGTTACACTTCCATTATTGTCCTTTTATTCATTTAAATATATATTTGAGGTCTACATTTTATAGTCATGTATGGCTAGTAGCTAGTCAATAAGAATCATATACACAGTGGAGGACCTTTCCAATGCAGAAAATAATGTAAACCTCCTCACCCAAAAAGTAACCAATAATGAATAAAGAATGTTTTCTACCAAATTATCAAGGTTATGCCTAATTGCCTCAAAATTTTAAGCTAAACCTAAGATCACAATTATAATCTGACAAATTATAATTTGGTCCATTTTCTTAGTTCTTTGATGCAAGTTAATATTTTGATTTCTTAAATATGAAAATATTCAAACATACAGAAAAGGTGACTTATACAGTAGACATTCATATGCACGCCACCTAGATCCCACCATCAATATTTTGCTGGATTTTCTTTATCACATAACCACTCATCTATTCACCAATTTTTAAAAATTCATCTCAAGTAAGTTACAGACATCATACACTTCACAATGGGTTTATATATTTAAAGGAGTGTTTTCTATATTTTCCTGAAAGGATAGGATTTAAATCAATAGTGCTATAATAAATATTCAGAATTGAGGGAGTACAGCACACTATAATGTTTGCTAAAAAAAAAATCTTAGAACAATGTGTTTACCACAGCCTTTATAAATATGAACTGTGCCTGGAGGGGTTCCCTCAGTTATCCAAGGAAAAGATTTCTCAAGTGATTTTCTGTATACACCTTTCTCTGCAGAATACAGGCACTCTTTTCTGGTTGGTGGGAAAAGACTTTTTTAAAAAAGAGGCCCGGTGGACCAAGAACAGAAGATTCCCCTTAATGAACCCACTTTCTCTAGGCCAAGTCTAACAAATGTAATTCTCCTTGGCCCTCAGAAGAAGACGTTTACCTCCCCATCTTATAATTGCCTAGAAAGAAATCTGTGCCCCTACAGGGTCTGAAGGTAGAAATGTTTGGGAATGGGATCCTCTTTTTCTGTGGTCAGGTCATGGGCTGGTCTTCAGTTCTGGATAATGGAAGACATTTCCTTTTCACAGCCCGGCTATGAGCCTTCTTTCAATGAGCCAAATATCACTGCAGACTCTCATATCACCTCAGCCAAAATTTTAAGGATAGAGTAAGGATAAAACATATTTACTATTTTTCTTAAAACTGAATTAAACTTCTACCCCCAATGGTAAATATTCTGTGCAAGAAGGTTAGATAAAAGTGTTTGATACTTTGTCTTAGGTTTCCAAAATAGGACAGCTCATGTTCATAGATCAGCTAAATAGTGATGATGGTTTTATTGACATTTAATAATAGAGCTTCTAAATTTGTTAGCTCTATATTTAACCTGAGTGTGAACTTTATTAATCACTAAGACGTTCTTACACATGTTCCTCAAGGACAGAAATCTAGTTCTATCTACTACCTCATCCTTTAGTTCAAACTTTTCTTAAAATGTTGGAATTCTTTGTATCCCTTTGTGATTTTGCATATGCTATTCCATCTGTCTGGGATCCCTTCTCCCTCTTTTCAACCTATCAAACTCCTTGTGGAGTGAGATCCAATGGAGCCTCCTCTGTGGTGCCCTCCCATATTCTCCAAGGAAGAAAAATTTTATCCCCAGTATTGTTCAGTCTGAATTCTAACCTGTGTACAACAAGGCTTTAGTGAAATCCCTCAACAAGCAAACCTTCCACTAAGAAAGAAGCCGAGACAACTATTTTTGCATCTTAAGTTTCCACTGTTAATACAAGTCTGCTCAGACTCATCATCAACCATTTGTTCCTGGAGTCCCACCACAGCTCTGAGTCTTAGTGCCCATGATATTTGCTGCTCATTGCACTGGCCAGAAATGAAAGAGAAAACATATTCTAAGCTTAACATGATGTTTACTGGGTTTCAATGTTTTGCAGATTCTCTAAGATAAGACTGCTAGTCTGCGATCCTAGCTGAACAATGGTATTTTTCTTTACCCATTTTCTAACACCAGTGAAGCAAAGGAGGCAGTTCATAGCATCCCAGAAACACCTGTGGGCTAATCACAAACTCAGAAGGACTTTTGAACAAAAGCTTTGGAGAGGCTTTAAGTCTAAGGCAACCAGGGAGAAGACCAAAACTCATGCTTTTCACCTCAAAAAAAAAAAAAAAAAAACAAAATAAGGCCCATCTATAACTCACAAAGGAGATGGAGGTCACAAGTTAAGTTTCCACAGCTTCATTATGTACCAAATGGGACAAACATGTAGTCTACCATCTTGATTTTGTCAGCCATTATAATGAAAACAAAACTAAAACCCCAAACTTTGAAATATACTTTGTTAAAAACAAAAAGTGGCACTTACATCAGCCTTGCAAATAAACATAAGATGTTTGCTGACCTACAAAATATCACCCATTAAGGCCTCCCACTCAGAGGAGAACCCCCTACACTTCGCTCTCTTAGGAATATGCCATTAATTGCCCTCAGCATGTGTGAGTGGCTATTCACAAGTTAACTTTATAGCAATATTTAATTGAATGAATGGAACAATGTTGTGCTAATGAGGGTCAAATTGCCACCAGATGTTGCTTCTTTCTTTCTTTTTTTTTTAAAATAAACACAGCTGTGTACATGCATGCATGCGTAGGCAATACAGAACTACTAGTGGACGAGAAAAGTGGTTCTAAGGAAACACTGGTGAGCAATAAAGGAGAGAAAAATCTAGGGATTAATGAATATTAACAAATTTCCATTCCACCTTTCATTTTTATTTCAAACACATTAAAATGCACTGAACGTGGTGTTGTGAATATGCTGTCTAGTACACATTATTTCCAATCATTTATGAAATGGGGGGCTTTCTCCCAGTGGGGATAGGTGAGTGAGTCAGTCTGACGGGAAGCCATCAACAACCTGACTATTCTGTGAGGTCTTCCTCGAGGAGGTCCAGGAACCAGCTCGGAGTCTTCCAATCTCTAGCTGCACCAGGCCCTGTGCACACTTGGGAGGACAAGAAGAGAGGTGAGAAACAGCATTCACATTCTAAATTATCATGGCAGAGCTTCCACTCATCTCTGCACCAAGAACTATAAATGGGTGGTGAAAACAAGAGGGGATAAAGGTAAATCAGTAATCAAAAAAAAACCTCACACAAAATAACAAAAATTCATCGACTCCATGGTATTCACCTCCTAACTTCATGACTTCTTTACCTATGGTAAGAGGATTACATTTCAATTCACCTCTTCCTTCTCCCTTCTGATGAAAGTATTCACAAGCAGTGAAATAATGAAGAAAAAGTGGTGAACGGAGGACAGAAAAATCATAGAGATAATTTACAAATAAATTTCCTCGTAAGTCGTAACTTATAGCTGACTATGCTAGGAAATCAGGATTTTAAAATAAACAAGGTTCATTTGTCTTTGCAAAAGCTTCCACAGCTATTTGTGAAACAGTGTGAAATGCAGCTGGTTACAGTTGAATGGAAATTTACAAGAATTTTTATTAATCAATTTCCTCCAAGGGAGGTTGTGTCCATGGGGCAGAGACACTTGGAAGGGAATTCTGAACCTAGCCTATACAACTTCGGTGAGAAACTGCGTCGGTGGTGGGAAAACCACTCAAGCAGATCCTTGTCATCCTGGACACCCTGCTTTACTTTTTCAAACTTCATTTGTGAAATAGGAATTGGTCTAGATAATCTTTAACGGTCCCTCCAGCAATAAAAGCTGAATTTGGTACATTCATGACAATATAGCTTTAGAGAGAGAAGGATGAATTTTTTGACTCCGGGAGAACTTACCCCCCATCTAATGCACTTAGAGCATTTAGAGGGTAATCATGGGTATCTGGTTTCTCACAAGCAGAGAAAGTAGCTCAGAAATCCTCCAAGAGGTTTCTCGTCAGTCCTGTTAGTCAATATAACAGCTTTCTTGTAAAGCTATTTATGATGGGGTAAAATAACCAGAGATTAGCTCTCTCGTGAAAACTAGAGTTAGCATAAAGTCAACCCACTTTATCACCAAGCTAGATTAGAACGGTTCCCTCTGGACTTCAGTTATATCAGCCGGGCCGACAGCACCCTGAGGACTCACCTTGAGGATAGTGGCCACCGTCTCCTGTGAGGCATTTCTCATGTCCTCCCCGTTCACAGATAAGATCTGATCTCCCTGAATCAGTCTCCTGTCCAGGTCTGCAGCTCCACCTTTGACGATGTCAGAAATAAACACTCCATTTCCATTTCTGTGGATACCACCAAGCAGCGGGGAATGGCATGGTTTAGTATTCCTGAGTCAGTCTGCGATTACCGACATTCTATACAGTTTCACTAAATCCTAAAGCTTGGAATAAGAGTCCCCCCAAACCGTCTCATCCAGTAATATCCACTAACTTCCCACATGATAAACCTCAGAGTGCTTGCCCTTTAAATAGTTTATACATATTTATGTTGCCTACTGTAATATTCATTTCTATCAGTCCAAGGGCATCATTTCTGCAAGAGGATAATCTTAAGTGAAATGAAATGGAAATTCACTTTAAAAAGTAAGAGTTAAGTACTCTTAAAATATACAAGTTGTTTTCTTACCGATCAGCTCAATTATTAGCATAGGATCTGCTTCTAGTTTCTCACCCTCTCTATTCCTTCCCTTATTATGATTTTAATTATATTTACTTGTCTGAGGAGTAAATAAATGTAGGTCTCAAAGTTCAAGAGGGTAGGAAGTGGAGAAAGAGGTCGAAAAGTCTCCCTCACCTCTGTTCCCCAGCCCCCAAGTTCCTTTTCCAGAGGTAACCAGTATGTTAACTTTTTCTTGTGTATCTCCTAGAGATATTCTGTGTATACATTAGCAAATACATGTACATACAGCGCATATGTGTGTGAACAGATACCCATGCACATACTCTTCTCCAGAGTTTTTTCTTCCAGTTTTGTTTTACTTTTTCAATTGATACACCCTCGGATTGGGCTTTATGAGCACTTGGGGGTTCCTCACTGTTTTTTTTAAGGGCTGCATACTATTCTACAGATGTTCTTTAATTTCATGATAAGTAAACTATTAATAAAGAAGACACAGGTTACTGTCATTCACTAGCTACAGCAAACAATGCGCAACGGATACCGTTGTGAAACGGCTAAGTCAAGGAATCACGAACATGAGAGCTTATGCACCTGAACCTTCACAATGGAAATTTCTGGGCTCAGGAGTATGAATGTTCCTTACAAACTCAATCTGAAATACTAGTGCTGTATGAAGAGTGTAGGAGACAATAAAGTAAAAGGAGACAATAAAGTAAAAAACCATTCCTCTACGCGGAATCTCCCCAGGCACGTGTATGTCACAACCAGGAAGCAAACTTCAACACAGGTTTTGTCAGGTGTGTGATGAGTTTATTTAGAAACAGGAGTCTCTGCTTTTCTGGTTTAAAATGCATTTTCAGAGTGATGATTTAATGGTGCTGAAGAATGAGACCACGACACCATGATACTTGGCACAAGGTCAGTGCTCTCAAAAATTGTCTCCAATGTTTTTATTTTAATAATGGCTTGGATGGGGTGCCTGGGTGGCTCAGCAGGTTAAGCCTCTGCCTTCAGCTCAGGTCATGATCTCAGGGTCCTGGGATTGAGCCCCACACGGGCTCTCTGCTTGGCGGGGAGCCTTCTTCCTCCTCTCTCTCTGCCTGCCTCTCTGGCCTACTTGTGATCTGTCAAATAAATAAATAAATAAATAATCCAAAAAAAAAAAAAAAAGGCTTGGATGGCTGAAAAAAAGTATCAGGCTAGCCATCAGAGGTCTGTGAGGGCACAGGACATAATACATAAAAAACCAACTTCAGTTCTTCCTAAGAAGATGGTTGATAACCATTTAAGGCCTTATGGGTGACCATAAGGTCACCTGGAAACCCTGCAGCCCTGTTGGAATAAAGACACACTAAATATCGAAAACCAGTAAACCACAGGAGCTGGAATTGCAGTTTCAAGATATCACTTCTCTGACTTACTACTGTTATTCGATAATGCCCATCAAATGGGTAAGCGGCGCAGACTTCAAAACAACGGATCCACCTACATTTTTGTTGCAAGTTATTCTTTTGGGGGCATCTTTCTTAATGAAAACTACAGTAATGAATAATTTACATTTGTCTCTCAAATATATCTATTCAGCTAATTTTTGAAACTCACCAACGAGTTGTAGGCAACATAGCATGAAATTCACATGGTAGTATCTGTTGATATTAACGGTTTCTTGGCTAGGGTGGCTTTGATTCACCCCATGCAAGCCTCAGAGCTAAGGGACTCCAAGGTAAAAAATCCTTTTTTAAAAAATTAATTAATTAACTAATTAATTAATTAAGAGACATAGCTAGAGAGGGAACACAAGGAGGGGAAAGGGAGAAAGCTGTCTTCCTGCTGAGCAGGGAGCCCAATGTGGGGTTCATTCCCAGGACCCTGGGATCACAACCCGAGTGAAAGGCAGACGCTTAATGACTGAGCCACCCAGGTGTCCCTGAAAAAACCTTTTTGATTCTGTTCTTATTCTATATGGGAACAAATACAGTTTGGGTTGATTGGGTTTTGAGTTCTATCTTCATATGACACACTTTTCTTGGTTAAGATCTTGCGCTGAAACATGACTTAGGCCACTCTAATATTTATAAATAGGTTAATTTTAGAAACCTTATCATTAGTTTATATAAAACTTTCTCTGCTGGTGTTCATAGGCTCCCTAGGCCTCCGGGGAGACAGGCCAATCTGTCCTAGAGCTTGTATTTCCTTACCGTTTCCCAACGATGCTCAGACCCAGTCCTCGGCCAGCCTTTTTCTGCAGATCCACCGGGAAAATCTCCAAGTTCTCCTCATCCCTGTAGTGTGCTTCATCTCTATACACCACCAGTCGTACCTTCTGGGGGGTCTGCCTCAGGGCTGTGATGGCTTCTTCGTGGCCAGCGCTCCTCAGGTCAATCCCATTAACCTGGAACAACGGGCATCTGAGATGGGCTGCTGACAGCAGAGCCCTCTATGCCTGCTCTGTCTGCTGAGCTCCTTAATCTAACCGGTGAAAAACCTCTAGAAATTTCCAGCCATTCCCGAGGCACCAAGGCAGTGGCTACTAGTAGTAGTAGCTGTTTCACATATTAAGGGAGGTTAACTCTTATACTCTTCCCACCCCCAAAAAGGTTAGTACACACAATAATGCAATTTTGCACAGCTGTGAACCTTACTATGGGATCAACATAGTTGGGGAGGGAGGGCGAGAGGGAGCAGGACGGGTGGAAAGGGCTGACTGGCTCATTTAACTGAGGTCAAAAGGGAAATAAACATTAGTGTTTGGTCAGCATTTTTAGACTCCATTTGCTTATTGAATTTGACATCCTCACTCTTAATTGCAAACATCACAACTACTTTGGAATAAGTAGGAAGGAAATGAGAGACTTTCCACAGTGTCAAAATCCCCTTCAGGTACACTCTTCTGAACCTGGATCCGAGTGAGAACAAACAGGACATGAGTTAGAGGCAAACTATCCTGGAAACAGCACTGAGGAAAGCCATGGCTCTGTTTCTGGCAAATCATGTGAATCTGGACAAGCCGTGTAACCTCTAAGACTCTGTTTCCTCATCTGCTACACAGAGATCATAGCCAACTTACTTACTTACTTTACTTGTTTATTTAAAGATTTTATTCATTTATTTGAGAGCGCATGAGTGAGAGAGCACACAAGCAGGGGGAGAGGGAGAAGGATAAGCAGACTCCATGCTGAGCAGGGAGCCCGATGCGGGGCTGGATCCCAGGACTCTGGGATCTGTCTGCTGAAGGCCGACGCTGAACCGACTGAGCCACCCAGGTGCCCCTTATTTATTTTTTACTTAACAAATGTTTGTGTAGTGCTTGTGAATTAGCCCTTTATAAATATTTAGTCATTTAATCCTTACACTAACTCTCTGAAATAGGTGCCATTACTATTTTACAGACGAGGAAAGTAAGGCATGGAAAGGCTAAGAGACTTGACGAAGGTTACATAGCAAGCAGACGGAGGAGTCACAGTTTGAACCCAGACTGTCTTCCCACCTTTAGTCTCTAAATTATTCTGCCTCAACTTCCTTTCAGAATGAGTTCCTGGAGCCCCTGTCACAGAGAGAATCAGGCAGTGCTGTGGATGAGTGGATTTAACACAAGGGAGAAACTGAGGAGCAGAACGGCTGAGGACTCAACGGGAGGGAGTCATGGGTCACTCCATCAAGGTCACAGCTAGGAAATGAGCCAAAGGGAAGAATAGGCCCAGGTCATGGCCAGGGGAGTATAACAGAATGGAAGAGTTCTCTCATGATGCTGTTCCTCCTCCACGTTCTAGTCCATCTCTTTGTGTTCTGGGCAGGTCGGGCTTATCTCTGCTCCTCCATTCCTTCATCTGTCCAGTGAGGGATTGGTCTCAGGCTTCCCCAATTCTAACATTCCAAAGATGAATGACTTGGGGCATGAAGAATGGTTACAGACAAGGGAGAAGAGAGCAATGAGCCCTTCCTGGAGAAGGTGAATTTTGAGCTATTCTTTGAAACTGATTTGGTGAACCAGAAAAATGTTTTAAAAGCCTAATTTTCAAGCTGTATCTCCCTACCCCCCCATCCTTCTGGTATATCTTGGGTCCGTGTTCTCACTTAGATTAAGTACACCCAGCATGACAGTGGTTAAGGGATGCCTGGCTGCCTTGGCCAGCAGAGCATGTGACTCTTGATCTGAGGGTTGTGAGTTTAAGCACCACGTTGGGTATAGACCTTACTTAAAAAAAATGTTTTTAAAACCAAAAAACAGTGGCTAAGCATGGGTTTTTAAATACAGATGGGCTTCAGTTTGAGCACTCATTCTAACTTACTCTGTGAAACCTCAGATACATTACTTAAGCTTCAACTGTGTCCTGTATGAGTTGGAGACAGTATCTACTTAGTGTTGTGAGGATTACCTGAAGTATACCCTCTAATGCCCTGGGCACAGGACTTGGCCCACAGTTAAGCCCAGTGTAAGTTACAAGTTGGGAATTTACAAGGGATTGAAGTAACCCGAGTCAGGACTGTTTTCTGCCAGCGCAAGCATCCACTGTTAACTCAGGACCATGCTGCATTCTCAGTGTTCCGGAGGTAAATCCATAGAACAAAGGGGGAAAACAGCGCCTCTAGAAAATGTGGCCTGAGCGGATTATTTTCCCATATTCCAATAGATGGCGCACAAGACCACTTCTGTTAATCCACTGCACCATAGTACTTCCAGGGGTGGAAGGTAAAGTCTCTTCAGCCTCTAAAATACCTTTTCAAAATCCCTAACAAATTATACATCCAATCAGAAGCACTGTCATGAAACTAATATTATAAAAGCAATTTATATTAAATTCCAGCATTAAGATGCTTGCTCAAATCCAAGTGATTTGCTTCAAGTTCATAGTTTTCATTTCCTCCTCTGCTTATCAAGAGGCACCACTAAATGCACCAGTAATTGTTAAGAAAAATATCGCTGTGTAGCTTCAATATTGTGGAGTGACGTATTGCCTTAAGTGCCTTACAGAAGCACTATATGCATTATTTAGAGCACTGACTGTAGGAGTGGTAATAGCAGGGCTCCCTATTTGAGACAAAGAGCCATAGGAGGCCCCAGCTGTCAATGGGAGTGTATCACGTTGCTTGGGTAGGACGAGGAAGTGGGTGAATCACTGCTTTGGAAGGAAAGAATCACCAAACCAGGCAGCAGTTCCTTGCTATTTTAGTTCACAGGGAAAACCAGGCATTAGCCTTCTACTCTTTCTGTTCCCACTTGCACAAAAATAGAAGAGGATAATGGCGGTAGGGGTAGGGTTAGATGAGGGACTTTGTTTGTTTTAGAAAGATAGACTGAACGTGCGTGTGTATGCGGCGGTGGAGAAAGGCAGAGGGAGAGGGAAAGGGAGAATCTTAGGCAGGCAGCACATCCAGTGCGGAGCCCAATGCAGGGCTCAACCTCACAACCCTGAGATTATGATTTGAACTGAAATCAAGCCTGAAACTGAACAGACTGAGCCTCACCCCAGTGCCCCGAGGGACTGACTTTAAAAGCAGAGTCAGAAAGAAGTCAGTCTATGCTAATTATAGAATCATTAATCTTGCCATGCTAAAACATTACTGGACTATATCTTTGTATGCAAAATCTGGTTTGTCCCAGTTGGTTTTTTTTTTTGTTTGTTTGTTTGTTTTTTAAAAAGATTTTATTTATTTATTTGACAGAGATACTGTGAGAGGGAACACAGGCAGGGGGAGTGGGAGAGGGAGAAGCAGGCTTCTCCGTGGAGCAGGAAGCCCGATGTGGGATGTGATCCCAGGACCCCGGGATCATGACCTGAGCCGAAAGTAGACGCTTAACAACTGAGCCACCCAGGTGCCCCCCAGTTTTTTTGTTTTTTTTTTTTAAGCAATCTTTATGCTCAACGTGGGGCTGGAACCCATAGCCCCAAGATAAGCGTTGTTTGCTCTACTGACTGAGCCAGGCGGGTGCCCCATGGCTTGTCCTAAGTTTAATATGAGGACAGAATTAAAGCCATGAAAAGCCAGCTGCCAATGTGGAGTACTCCTAAGCAGAAAAGTTACTGTCTGGAAAGCACTGGTGCAGAATTCTCTGGTTTCATGGTCTTGAAATACACCACTGAAGCTGGCCTGTCTTCTTAAGGCAAAGCTGCAGGCCACAGGCTGATTATGCTTCATTATGCATCTATACACATCAACCACAACTAGAAGGAGTCCAAATGTGGGGCCTAAGCTGCTTAAAAGGAAACATGTTACTTGACCAAACAGCTATTTCTTAACTAAACACACCATATACTCTTGTACCGCCTGGGGTAAAAGAACAGCCTGTCTTGACCAATAAAAAAAAATAATAATAATAGCTTTGTAGTTGACACACAATGTTACATTATGTCCTGGTCGTCTTTAATGAGAAGTGTAGACCATCAGTCCATATTGGGTAATATAATTCAGCTGGGTGCCAGGAAATGGTTTGAGTTTTCAATTTCTCCTTCCACTTAATTGCTTTCTTCATGTTAACCTGTCCTGAGTGTTTGCTTGTAGATGAATATCCTTTATGGAAGACAGCAGCTACAGCTGCGCTCTATCCAATACAAACAGAGTTTTAAAAAGTTTTTTATTGAGGTATAACATTAAGAAATAAAGTACATTTATTTATTTATATATTTTTAAAGATTTTATTTTTTTTAGAAATAGAATCCTTTTTATTTATTTATTTGACAGACAGAGATCACAAGTAGGCAGAGAGACAGGCAGAGAGAGAGGGGGAGGCAGTCTCCCTGCCGAACAGAGAGCCCGACGCGGGGCTCGATCCCAGGACCCTGAGATCATGACCTGAGCCGAAGGCGGAGGCTTTAACCCACTGAGCCACCCAGGAGCCCCAAAATAAAGTATATTTAAAGTGTACAATTGGGCGCCTGGGTGGCTCAGTGGTTAAAGCCTCTGCCTTCGGCTCAGGTCATGATCTCAGGGTCCTGGGATCGAGTCCCGCATCGGGCTCTCTGCTTAGCAGGGAGCCTGCCTCCTCCTCCTGTCTCTCTCTGCCTGCCTCTCTGCCTACTTGTGATCTGTCAAATAAATAAAATTAAAAAAACTTTAAAAAAAAAAAAAATAAAAAAATAAAGTGTACAATGTATACGTGAATTTATGTCATTTAAACCTAACAACCATCACCGTAATCAAGGAAATGCATATATTAGATTTAGTTTCAAGTGATCATTATAGAATCATTCGTGGGCTTACAGATCACACAAGTATCTAGGCGTGTGTGCATCTGTACTCTTGAATAGTCAATCTATTTTTTTTTTTACAAAGCCAATTATGATAACACCAGTTAATCAGAAAACCTGAGGAAAAAAAAAAAACCCTCAAAACTTCTGACCACTAAAACAACGGTGCTGTATGCTAAAGCAGTCAAGCCAATTCCCAAAGAGGTCTTTGCTTATTTTTCTAACCTCATACACTTGTGCCTTAATGAATGTACTGGGAATATGTCCTAATCCAATGATGAAGCACAGTAAAAGTCTGCAGAGAAACCCTGAATTTAATTTGCAATGAGCCTGGCCTCTCCTTTAACTCCTTCTTGCCTATATTTTCTGCCCTTAATTATATCTGTGGTTTCATCTTGGGAGGCAGACTTGAACCACCAAAGGGAAAACAAAATTCTATGATGTCATTCATAATGTACTATATTAAAGTTGCAAAGCAAAAATGCACATGCCCACCATAAAATGTTAACTGTTCAATTAAATTCAACCAATGAAAGAAATAAATGTTGCCTAAAGGTTTCACACCATCAAAAAAGCTCTTTCGTTCCACCTACCAGAATGCCTGGCATTGACCTGCCATTCATCCGTTCCCTAGTTCAGACAATGCCTGCCTTGCCATTTTCTTTTTTTTAAAAGGCTTTAACGCCTTTGCTAATTGAGAGTGCATTTGAAAGAGGCAAGCTAATCATTTCGACTTATTAATAAGTACCACGTACCTACTAAAAGGAGAATATTCTACATTTTCATCAGCTAGAAGACAAAAGAGGAAAGGCATGGACCTCCACTTAAAGATTAGGAGTAAGAAAATACTTAAAACTGCAATAAAGGTCTTTAAAATATCAGGTGTGCATGTTTATGCATATGTGTCTGTGTTTTGAGGAGAGAATTTAGACAGGTATGATGGAGGGGCACAAAAAAGTAAAATTGCAACACTGTACACTCTCATTTGATACAAGGATTATAGAACTATTAGAACTACATAACTTTAATTTTAAAAAAGTTTTCACGGATTTAGATAATATGCCATGATTTTGATGACAGTTATTCAACGTACATTAAAAAAAAAGGTACACTTTCTGCTAAATGGGAGACAAATGAGGATAAAGTACAAGGCAGTGAGTGAACAGACTTTGTAGATCAAGTTCAGTAAAGGAATTCTATTTGCTAGTATTTTTAAAAAAACTTTTATTTACGTATTTATATTTAAAAAAAATTTTTTTTAAGATTTTTATTTATTTGATAGAGAGAGACACAGCGAGAGAGGGAACACAAGCAGGGGCAGAGAGAGAGGGGGAAGCAGGCTCCCCGCTGGGCAGGGAGCTTGATGCGGGGCTCGATCCCAGGATCCTGGGATCATGACCTGAGCCAAAGGCAGAGGCTTAAGGACTGAGCCACCCAGGCACCCCCTAGTTTTTTAAAAAATTTTTATTTATTTTTTTAAGCAGGCTGGGAGGGACAGAGAGAAAATCTTAAGCAGGATCTGGCTTCCTGCTCTTCGGGGAGCCTGAAGTAGGGCTGGATCTCAACCCTGAGATCATGACCGGAGCCAAAATCAAGAGTCAGACACTTAACTGACTGAGCCACCCAGTGCCCCTGTTATTTGCTAGTATTAAATAAAATTCATACTCCCCTACCTCTAATATCTGGTCACCAGCCCAAAGTCTTCCATCTCTGGCTGCTGCTCCTTCTTCGTAGACTTCGTGTATAACTATAGCGTCCTATAAAGAACAAATTCTTATTAATTTTCAACAACCATAAATGCTTCCTTACACAAACAACCAAACCATAGGCAGCAACCCATAATCTGCTCTTCGCTAATAATGTCCTATTTTATTTGACCTAAAAGTAAACAAAACACGCAGTTATGATATATTCGGAGGTATCATTAATTTTTCCTAGGTTTATTATTTCATTCCTTCAGGACTGGCTTTGCCTAATGTTTCACGTTAAACTTCCCCCATGTGTTTTACTGTTAACGTGTACATTGCTGCTGTGTATGAACTTGAGGTGAACTATATGTCCTTCTTATTTACATTTTATGGTATATTTTGAGACACGGTTTCAGGTATTTATTAGTATTCAAGGATTTGGCATAAATGTGTGGCCTCATGCAGGGGGTCTGTCAGGCCTCATTACTCAGGCAATGAAAGAAAAGAACTGAAGTGGAATGAAATGACCCTGGAGGACGAAGCACGGAGGAGGGGAAAGGGCGTTCATGAACCTAAGTGTCAGACAGCTGTGGGTTCAAATTCTGACCTGCCGGTGTGTAACTCTGGGCAAATTAACTCCCGAACTTAGCATTCTGAGCCATAGAATCAGGACACTATTGAAGGTAGGGAACTGTCAGCTGGTGAACAGATCACGGTTAGTGAATTTAAAAGATTCCTATCTTTTCAAATTAATAACCTTACATTTTTTTTATTATTAAAAATAACACATGTAAAGGACTCAAGCAAAACCACAGGGTGTAGTAAACTATCGAAGAGACCGCCTCCCTCCCCTGCCCCTCAGTCCCACGCCCCAGAGACAATCCCCATCTGCAGTTTCCTAAAGACCCTGCAGACAGTTCACACCCGTACACCCATATACTGATATTGTACATATATGGGTTTTGGTGAGACTATTTAAAAATTATTCAATTGAATATGTTCATACAACTTTTCCCCCTGATGTTGAGCACACAGGGGATTTTTTTAAAAAAATTATTTATTTATTTTGGGGGGAGGGAGAGAGAGAGAGAGAGAAAGCATGAGCGGGAAGGGCAGAGGGAGAGGGAATCTGAGGCAGACAATAAGCTGACGTAGGGCTTGATCTGACAACCCTGACGTCATGACCCTGAGATCCTGACCTGTGCTGAAACGGAGAGTTGGATGTAAACTGACTGCTCTACCCAGGCACCCCACACGTAGGGGATTTTTATGAAGCCGAAAACTGAACCAGAAGTCATTGGTTCTTTCTGTTGTTTATCAAACCGAGGGGCACTGACATAACGATGCTGAGAGGATCATGCCAGGTGTCTTGGAGGACTGCTGGGAGAGGAAAAGAGCTTCTGAATGGAGACTAGAAACAGACCTGTGGGTCTCATGAGTGTGGATTTGAGCCCTGCACTGCCCAGTGTCCCCCCATCCCCACCACCCCCCAGCATACACGCTGGTTGCAAGACCTTGCAAGCAGTGGTCAAGGGGGGAGACTCTAGGCATAATGAATCCTACCTTGGAAGAAGTTCTGTGTCCCAAGCATTGGGACTTGGAAGCAGCAGGATTTCTTGACTTGTGATCATAAAGGTCTGGGTAAGAAAGGGCTTGATGATCACCGGGAGGACTGATGATAATGACCAGGGGCCTACCAGTGACATCTGGGAGCTTTGTAAAGAAACTAGAACTCAAGAGTTTCAGAAGCCTCCAAAATGACTGAGGTTGATTCTGCCTTAGTCCAGAAATATGGAGCCTCAGAATCAGAATTAAATTGACAAGAAGTCAACGTAAAGAAATATTTCTTGCAAAAATAAAACAAATAAGATAGAAAAGACCCAAACCAAATCTTTTTTTTTTTTAATTTTTAAAAATTTACTTGAGAGAGCGAGCGAGTGCACAAACAGGGGGAGGGGCAGAGGCAGAAGGAGAAGCAGGCTCCCCAGTGAGCAGGGAGCCTGATGTGGGGGCTTGATCCCAGGACCTTGGGATCATGATCTGAGCTGAAGGCAGATGCTTAGCCGACTGAACCACCCAGGTGTTCCCCAAATATACTTTCTTCTTTTTCTTCTTCTTCTTTTTTTTTTTTTTGAAGATTTTATTTATTTGACCGAGAGAGAGAGGGATCACAAGTAGGCAGAAAGGCAGGCAGGGGTGGGGGGGAAGCAGGCTCCCTGCCGAGCAGACAGCCCGGTGTGGGGCTCCATCCCAGGACCCTGGGATCATGACCTGAGCCGAAGGCAGAGGCTTAACCCACTGAGCCACCCAGGTGCCCCTAAATAAAATCTTTATTTTTATTTTTTTAGATTTTATTTATTCATTTATTTGACAGATCACAAGTAGGCAGAGAGGCAGGCAGAGAGAGGTGTGGGGGGGAAGCAGGCTCCCTGCTGAGCAGAGAGCCCGATGCAGGGCTCGATCCCAGGACCCTGGGATCATGACGTGAGCCAAAGGCAGATGTTTTAACCCACTGAGCCACCCAGGCACCCCCTGAATAAAATCTTTAAAAGAAAGATTTGATTTAGTTATTTGAGAAAGTGAGAGAATGAGAGCAAGCGAGCATGAGAGGGGTAAGGTCAGAGGGAGAAGCAGACCCCGTGCTGAGCAGGGAGCCCAATGAGCAGGGACTCCAGGATCACAACCTGAGCTGAAGGCAGTCGCTCGGCCAACTGAGCCACCCAGGAGCCCCAATAAAAAAAGAAATATATTGTTTCTCAAATACCAAACTCATGGCCGATGGATGATCTGTCTGGTCCTTGAGTCTGTGTGGACAAACTACTCATTTATTCTTTCCTTTGACTACTGCTGTGATTTCTCTTGAAAGTTATCAATGAAAATACAAGAACACATGAGACACACTGAACTATCAATAGAAAAAAGTCACATTTCTTACAATGCGCCTGTGTGCTGAAAGTGTGTTGTGACGTTACGGTTCCGGACAGCTGTATTAACTGGGGGTGCTAGAGGTGACAAGTGGGGCCAATAGCTAAACTAGAAATGCAGGCTGGTGAACTGAAGAGAAAAATGGATTTGTTTTTCAAAACTTACATGCTTCATGAGGTAGGACAGAATAATATTTAAAAAAAAAGATACCGCACTGAGGTATTTTAGGTAGCTATTTGACAAGGCAGCATGAAAATTTTCTATTTTGAAACAATTGTGATTGTATGAAATAATGGGTCATTAATGAAAGGCTGCCCTTTATTGTTTAAAATAAAAAATCTGGAGTTGATTATACATGTGATTCTTATCTCCTCAGTGTATATCCTCTTAAATGTTAACGCTCTTGAGCTACTCACGCAAAACTGCTTGTTGGCACAGTTCTGAGTGGCTCCTCTCCCATTCCTCTCTACACATATTTAAATAACATTCCTTCACCCTAGAATACCTCAGTGACTCTGTCTACCAATATCAATGATGACTTCTAAAACTCATCTATTCCAGAAGCAGCGTATTCATCATTTCCCTGTGGGTGGGTTGCTGGCTTACATGGAGGAGAGACTGTAGAGATAAATGATTATGAGCTAGGTCTCTGAAGTCAGATTTCTTAGTTCAAATCCTGGCCCTGCTACTTCTGGCCATCGGGCTTGGGATGACTGTTAACCCCTCCAGGCCTTAGCTTCCTCGTGTTTATATGGTTTTAACAATATTATCTACACATAAAGCTTTATGTACAGTGCCAGCACATAGTAAGGAAGTGAGAACATCTCATTATATTTAATGCCTCCGTGCCAAAGTTGGCGCATGCTTCCCATTCGTGCCATTCAATCCTCATAACAAGGAAGCAAGTGCAGTATTATTGGTCTCATTTACGGTTCCGGGTGTGGAGGCTCAGGATTCAGACTTGACCAGGTCTTTGCTGCTTCTAAGTAGGAAAGATCAAATTCCAACTTGGGACTGTTTAACACCAAAGCCTGTGTTCCTACCACTACTGCAAGCATCTCATCTGTTTTGAATATTTTATTTTGCACTTGCATAAAAGCTAACTTGGGATTTTCCATATGGCATCAATTCTGTTGAATTATTGTCTCCTCAACTCCACAGCAAAAACCTTAAGGGCATGAGCTGATCATTTTATAGAGAGTGAGCAAAAAGACAACTGTGGAAGTGAAAATTGAAGCCTTTGGCTTAATGAGGTGGGGTGATGATCTATGGACCTCACTTGCTAGTGCTGGAACCTGGTTAGGGGGTTTGCACCATACAAAGCATGATGGGTAAGCTCCCTCCCCGATTCAACACGGAGCCTCGCTCCTAATTGTTTGTTATTCTTGTCTCTTTCCTTCCTTTCTTTTTTTTTTCCCCCATCCTCTTTCTGCTTACCCAGATTATTCACTGAACTATTTTTTCTATAGCAGATACAAAAGAAAATTATATACACATGATGCATTGATGTTTGAAATAAAAAGCTTTTCAGTACAAAAAAACCAGATTAATTTCTCCTAATGGCAGACTTAAGAATCATTTACAGATGACCAAGACTGACATATAATAAAAAACTAATTTTTTATTATAAGAGAATAATATTTTTATTATAAGAGAAATTTATGTAAGATGGTCTGTTTATTTACTGCCTGAAACAAGACCAACAATTACACTCTGGCCACTTTACGTTACTCATTTGACTGGCCAACTCTGGAGCCAGGGAAGAATTTCATCAGTGAGCTGGAGAATCTTTCAAATGTTGGGTTTTCCCTAATCAGAAGGGTCAGGCAGGATTTTAGAGACATAGGAAAAGTCTTCTGCATAAAAACTTTCTTTTCATCAGTTTCTGTCTGAAACATGTTTAACTTGAGGAAAATTCCTTTATTCCGTTAATTAGGAATAACATTAAAAAAAATAGACACCCCCAAAAGAAGCAACTGGCAAGTAAATTTAACATACTGTTTAAGGGACTACTGTCTTTTTTTTGGGGGGGGGGGGACTACTGTCTTAATGTCTCCATTCTTTTTTATTTTTTTAAAAAGATTTTTAATTATTTATTTGGCAGAGAGAGTGAGTGAGAGAGCAGGCATGCACAATCAGGGGAA